GCAAATTCTAGCATATAAAAAGTTTATTTGGTAAATAATTAAATTAGCAAAGGTAAATTATGTTAATTAGGTTATCAATTAAATTAGGTTATTACTAAACCTACGAAAATATGTTTAACTTAAATGCAAATATTTCAATATAAGTATTATCTATATTTATAAGTTATTTTACTATTATCAATTAACGTGTACACATGCATGTGCTGTAATGAGTTTAGAAGAAATGTAAGAGTAATACTTAGTTGAGAATGAATATTCCAATAGACGTCATCTGATTGTAGTAATATTTCATATAGGAAATATGTGCTGGCTGTTGGAATGATATAACAAGCCGCAATTCTGAACGTGCACTCTGGCACATATTGACAATTACAGTAGCGGATGGCAACAGGAAAACGGGCGGCCAAATGGGTTGGCCACAAACGTGATTTTAATTCCATATATATATTTTTTTTTCATTGTTTGTCCGAAATACTGAATCATCGAAGTTATCTTCCTGGCAGATTTCCAGGATTAACTACTTGAACCGAGTACTAAAGCGGAAACGTTACATTCTGAGAACTATAGCCTTTTTTTTATCTGGCAAATGGTAATTATCATAAAGTTTTTGATGGATGTAACAAGCGTATGAGGAGCATTGGTATATGAATAATAGAAACGTGAATATTATAACGAGCAGCAATAACTAGTGGTTAGTTTAACTGCCTAAACTATATAATATATGACTGTAGTTAAACATACGTGTTATGTTTGCCTCTGGGTTTATTGTTCACAACTTCTTAATGTATTACTTTAAGCGCGGTTGGTTTAAGCAATAATGAGTTTCTGTTTAACATCAGGTAAACTATGCACAAATGCAGAGAAAATTAATGAATTTTCTCGAACTTTGTCGGAATTTCATGAGTGATAAAAAGTGCGGTTTTCGGAGCCTAATAGGGCAGGGCCTACACCACTTCTGCAAGAGAAAATTAATTCGAGATTACGCCAGTCAAATTCCGATACATACCCTCTCGCCGACGCCGTTATTTCTTCATTAAGCAATTCGTGGGTCCTACTCCTTTCCTTTTGCTTTTACTTTACTTCTTCAGATCCCGCAGCAGCTGCACTTCGCACTAACCCATATTTATTTCGCTTCACCTGAGGAAAACACTTAGGAACGCCGGAAATCTTTCCCCAGAGAAACTTGATAAAATAAATAGTTTCTTTATATTGAAACGATTTCCATAATTGATAGTTGGTCAACTTAAAAAAAAATGTTACACCAAAACTGCATCTTTATTAAAAATATAATATGTTTTTGATTCTAATTATTTGGATGGTATTGATCATCAATACAATGTTAAATAAAAATTGTAAAAGGCATTTTTAGAAAAAAAATATTAATTTCTGCAAAATATTATTCTTTGTTGTGGAAAGACTTTGGTCAATAGATGTTGTGTGTATATGTAAAATATTAAATTAATTACAATATTATCAATCGCGTATATTGTGATTAATAACTTTACTGTCAACCTTTAACATTCGTAACCTCTTTTCATGCAAGTTAAACTCATTAAGTGTTTTATAAAATATATTTTATTTTTGTATAGAAATTATTTAATAATAATACATAATTGCATACATATACACAATGGGCTATTCCGTTCTAATATTAAATTATATTAAAGTTGATATATAATAAATATGTATTAGGGATATTATTAATTTGGCCACGGTTCGTACAAGGGGGATTGCTCGGAATCTAAGCTAGTTCTGCAATAAAATCAATAAAATTTAATATGGAGCAGCGAGGTCCTAAATTATCCCGAATACATTTCATGCACAGAAATTTTCTACGCGGAGCGCGTGCCTGATTTTAAATTTAAATTAAGGCGCATTTCAATTGTAATTTATGAACCATCCATAGGGCATTAAATGAACGTTCGCGTGTTCCGCTTAATGACACATTGACAAACTACACCTGATAATAAAATTAGAGATAATAACGGCATTATTGTAACTTTTATAATCTACAAATGCTGTGTGGGTGGTAGATAGGACGTGCGGATACCTTGTCTCTAAATTAGATACATGCATCGACCCATAAAATATGTAGCCTAGTAATCATTTTCATTAAGCAATTATGCTGTGTACCTATTATTTACCTATAACCTATAAATAAACCTGCGCCTGGTTTAATTATAATCCAAAGATAAGGTAACTTGACACGTAGATCATATTTGAATATCAATAACATTGTACTCTCTAATAATTCTATTTATTACAAATCTATTATGAATTAATTTACAATACAAAAAAGGAATTTTTTATGAGTTTGTGTACTTTTAGTAGAATGTGAGCATCTCTGCAATAGTCGCGTGTCGGTCGCAATGTTAATTCACATTCAAATATTTACTATTGACTTGATCTTATTAGATTATTATTTACTCAAATATTTCCTGTTATCTTTGTTATACAATTGAAATCAGCAAATAGAAAAATATCAAAATATTTCCTATTCTATTAAAATTATATCTATACAATTTATATTTTCAAATTAAAATACTATTTCTTTTTCTATTGTAAAACATACAAAAGGCTTTTGAGTATATCAAATTAATAATAATAATCTTTATTAGTTACAATGCAACCAAAGGTCTATCGACTCAAGTCTTTCCACCCTCAAATTAATATTAAATACCAAAAATTGATATAATGTTAGGTAAATATTTCAAACTAATAAATCTTGGTTCTAGTTTTTTTTTTTATAAAAGCAGCTGATATATATATATTAAAACGAAAGTATCATCAACTTTTGAATGCGAGTGAAGTTTTGAGATAGAAATAATTTATTTTATGATATATTAATTTCTACGGTCGCATGCATATTATTTAATGGTTCAAGTTATATATTTTTGAAGCTTTATATTTTATATATTCAAACTACCTTTTATCAATGCCATGAATTTTATAAGATTTAGTACCAAATACATAATTAAAACTATTTTGGAAATGCATTATTCAATAGATAAATTAATAATATCTAGTGTAAAATAATTTTTCAATGTGAGCTATAATTGCTTGGATCTAAAGACAAACACGCCGTCTGTTTGTCGCCTTATTATATAAACATACACATCAGCATAAAGGAATCACTACTGTGATTCCAGTTCGATACACTTAATATATAGAAAGGAGACCAAGCGTAAACATTCCCATCGATACTCCTATACCTTTACTCCGAATTCAAGTCCTTATTATAAACACATAGTAATCATTACACGTACAATCGCAATCAATCATCTTTTTCATATAAACAAAACACTCATGAATAGGATTTTGTCCCAGTCTTATAACAAACCACCAAGGCCGAATCCCGTGGGAACGCTTAATCATCAATATATACAAGCCCTACTCCCAATCATAACTTCCGCCCCGTATTATTAAGAATTAACTTTGTAAGTAGAATAAGTATTTAGAATCAGTCTCAGTAAAACCTTAATTAAGCGAGCATAGTCTCATAAAAATCTAAGACGTGCATAGTCTTAGTCAATCTTTAAGAGTATCGCAATGTAGATACTTTAAAAGATATTTGTTTAAAACCAATTGAATTATTTAATTCCTACAATTGAGACACAACCAGAATTCCATCCCTGGGACACGACAATTTGTCATTTCTAAAAGGGTTCCCGAAAAACGGATATTGCTGTCGCTTTGCAAACAGTTTATTTTAGCAAAATTACGAAACAATTTCTGTTACTCCGTTGTCTCCATCTGATTATGTTGCCTTGACTATACAATTTAGTCGATAACTAAACGTTTAGTTGGGTTTAACTTTTAATAAAAACGCTCAAAATTAACTATTACATTTATTTAAATGAAAAAATCAGTTTTTTCAGTTTTAATTCACTTTTAACTTTTAAGTTAAGTAATTTAAATTACAAATATAGTTCAGTATATTAAATTAGAGTGAAATAATATTTAAAAAATATTACTAAGCGTCATAAAATGTATGCAAACCATATAACATGAAAGGCAAACAGTATTTAGATGTATTGAATTTGCTTGACGTAAACTAACACACAAATGGTACAGACTGATGGACATCAAAGCCTTAATGCATACTAAGAGAACTAAGTAATTAATTCATTGAAGTATTTGAAAGCAAAGGGTTGAGGAGTTACGATACTTCAAAATGAAATCTTCCTAAATGAAATGCACAGCGTCCTTGATTACCGAATACACTTTGCTTATTTAGTATATACGTCGTCGGTTATATTGCATTAGCTTATGGAATTATTTGGGTAATAATCCGATGTTGTGTAACAAAGATTTACCTGTGTGTTGTGTATAATGCGATGTGTGGTTGCACACAATGTATAAGTGATTCACTGTTTACCGGTATCCAAAATTATTGAAATAATAGGATTTAATTCAGAATTTCGTTTTTAGCGATTTTGATAATTAAATAATTATATTTGTAATTTTGCTAACACGTCAATCGACTTTTGGTGGCGAACAGTTGATCAAACTGTGTATATTGAATGTGACAGTAGTAAATAAAGACAAAAACGTTAAAATTTTGTAAACATCAGCATATTCAATCAATTTTTTTTATTATTATTCATATAATTATACCAATCCCAGAAATTTATTACAGGATTTATTTAAAATTAGCGTAAATATCAATTCAATAAATTTTCAGATATTTCTACAAAAATATTAAATAAATAAATTTTAATAGATTTAATTCTCTATTGTTATATCAGCTAAAGCTTTTTAATTTATTTATTTGACTATATATTAAAATACATTATTATTTACTAATTCATATTTTCACGCTCGTAATTTCCATATGCGCTATATTCTCTCTTGTTAAGATTTCTTTCATTTTTGGTCATTTTTGTTTCATGTTTTATTTCCGTTTCCTTGAAGTCCTCCGAATGGAAACTTTAATTACATTTTCTACTGTTTCAGACCCACCGCAAGTGGCACTGCATTTGGGTAGTACTCTTAACCCCGAGGACATCAAAGAGGGAGACGACGTATACTTCGAATGCAACATTAGATCCAATCCAAAGCAGCACAAGATCACCTGGTTTCACAACGTAAGCAACCCGCGCGTTACGTAAAATCCAATAACCACAAGTTCCGGCGTTCTGTTTTGTATGCAACGTTTCATGAGAACGCAAATATTTATTACATTTAATCGGCCCATAAATCTCCGGGAATAATAAAAACCGCCGCTGTATATTAAACGTATGCAAATATTGCATACGTGTATGCTTCCATTCTGTTATATGCTTCATGCTTGGACCCTTGCAGAGACTTGCGTTTTCACCATCTACTAAGCAGGTTTCAATAATACCAGGGTTTCTCAACATTTACAATCAAGTTAAATTTTAATGTTATTGCATTGCTTTATGTAATGTTAAAAAATATAGTTCTTCTCATTAACATAAATATTTGCCAAGGTAGCAACTAAGACTATTTATTACGGAGTCCAATGACAATGAAACCTATATATTTGATTTAAAGCACAAATATATTTTTTCAAATAATAACGATTCTTTGCGAAGATTTCATTTTAGTAGACAAGTCAAAATCAATTAAATGAAACTAACAAATATCTTTTTTATGTGTCGTTTTAAACACTAGCTCTGTAATATTATTAACATTCCAATAAATAATGCTGATAGGACATAACTGCTTTAGAATGATAACATAAAAGTACTAACTGTCGATAAATGCGAAGGTATTTAAAAATCAACCGAAAGTTACAATTTGCCTGTGGTATGTTTGCTCGATCCGCATAGGATTCTTTGATGTTTGCTTTCTCTAATCAAAGAGAGCCTGGATAGGGCGTGTGAAGCTCCCTTTTAATTATGATTTAAGCTGCTCCCTTCATTTAGATGGTAATTCTTAACCGCACACTTAACGGCACACCGTTTTCAATCGAAAATGTAGGTATGCCTTTCTGTTCTCTGGAATCTATTCTTCGTGTAATTGCGATCTGTATGAATATTTAATGCAGGGCCGTCTGGCTTTAGTTCTCCAAAAGAGGGCAATTATGTATGCGGGAAACAATTAATCCGACATAATCGCTGGTAGCCGGAAGGAAGCCGGCATCTTAAATCCCATGCAACATGCATATACGAGGTGCTTCTGAGTTATGGCCCATCCACGCATTTGCTTAAACTTGGCATTCTTTCTAATCCCTGGGATTTGCTATCTATCTTTTTAAGGTGTAGTCTTTAAAAAAATACAAATTATAATACTTTAAAAGGCAAATTGACAATATTCATATTTGTTTCTATTAATTTGTAATCATTCATATTTCAATGTTTATTATTGTAAAACCAGTTGAATTATTTTAGAAATTACATTAGAAATGTTTAAAGACTGTCATATAATCAAACATTTGAATAACATCCTCTAATATTTGTAATTTAAAATTTTTAGACAACATTATTCAAATGTAATATTAACAATATTACATAAACAAATAATAAATAAATCATATTTATATAATCATAATAATAGAAATTCACTTTTGCCACCCTCAAATATCATATTTAAAATGTTTTCCATACTTAAAATCTATTAAAATAACGTTGATAAGATGCAGCAGCGCATTTTCTACAAACGAGCATTTCGCTTAACGAGCAAAATGAATTGTAAGAAAAATGATTCGCTTAACGAGCGACGTTTCGCATAACTAGTGACGATGAGAAGAGAAATCTCGGATTGCGCGCCTGTTACATCATTTACATATTATGTATATACGAGTAAAAATCCGGATTAAACTCGTTAAGCAAGGTTCCACTGTTTTTAAAAATACTGATTAAATTTATATTGATATAAATATAATATTATTTAGTTATAATAAATGAGAATCATCTTTTATACGATGAATATTCTTGAAAAAATAATTCGTTTTTTTTTACGATTTATACATTAATCGAGGAAACCGTTGGAAATCGAATTAGTAACCTTCCGGCAGAAGGAAATTATAAATATTTATTTTCAACTTAATAAATGTAATTACAGGAATATTAATAGAGATGTACATTTTCTGTGTATATACTTTATATTGTTACAATAATGAATTATAACCAAATAATATTAACTACTCAATACACCTGGCCAAAATGGCTATCGACCTTGGACTTTCTTGCACTCTCATTAGTAATTATTTTTGTTAAATGTTAGAGAAACAAAATTAAAATACAGGTTGGAATTTATCTGCTTCTTCATATACGCGAATTATAATTTGGGTTGTTGAATAAATAAAAAAGCAAATTGATTGACATTGCTCAGAAGAGAAGTTATTTTATGTGACATATAAGTGATCTAGCAATTATCTGTTGCTCTGCCAATATTCATAAGTCTTTCCGGAACTTAAGTGTCTCTTTTTGTTGTATATTGTTGGACGTGTGAAATGAGTTGGAGGTGGATTAAATCAGAATTTAAATTTTAAATGCCCAAGGGATAGTTAAAATGACAAAAAAACAGCATAGAATGAGAGAGGGTGGAATATTGTGGTTTGCTGGTTCAGAACTTGCACCAAATTTAGTGGACTTTTCCAACAAAGTGTTGTATAAACATATAGTTCCGATATATCGATTCCCCAGTCGGCCGTTACGGTTGATATGCGACGGCTCGCTTGAAAATATTCTTCAGAGGGACACTGAAGCGAGGCCAATTTACAGTATATCCAGAAGCCGTCCGCATTTTTCAGACAAGACATAAATAAATAACCAAGAGTCAAACAGCTAAGAGTTACGCACGACGGTCAGTGACGCGTCCAAAAGATAATGCCAATTTTGCTTGGTATATGCATCTTGAATGACGTGGAAAGCATATAAAACGTGGGAACCCCCAACGTAGAGTGCATAAAATGTACTACACATGTCGGACCACGCACCGCTCATAAACACGCACTTACATCACGACTATAAAACCTTGCCACATAGTCGACTTGATTTTCTTCTGTTTAACTGTTTCGGTCATTAAAAATGGCCCTTGTGATCATTCACAATTTATGACTGGGACATTTATACTTTAAGAAATAATCATAAAATAACTCATTACAACAATAAATGATTACATCATTTACTTATGATATATTGTATTAATTATCATTATTTTTTGTGGAAATATCTTATTACACATGAACTAATATAGTATATTAATAATATATAAGATCATTATTATATACTTTTATATGCTATTTTATTGTTTCTTTGTAAATTAATATTAGTTTATCTCCGTAAATAATTTTACAGAAATTAAATGAATATTTTAGCATATGATCGTATATTAAAGTGAAAATATATAAAAAAGGAGAGGTAATAAAGTAACATTCTTCCTGTTATTGGCAATAATTTAGCCATTCCTGTGGGTGAAATAAAATCTATTGGAAATGTGTATCTCGCGTTAAGTAGAAGTTACGGGAGTTCAGATCTTCAGAGGGCAAAAGCGAGATGAAGAGATACAGTCGTAGGGTGGAGGACAGCATAAGATAGGACGAGGAAGATGTTAAAAAAGGAGATAGAAAAGGTAAGAGTGAAGACGAAGAAGGGCGAACTGTCCGTAGCGTATAAGGTATGCGTCTCGAGGGACAACTACGGCGCGGGCCTTTTACACCCCCCAGGGTAAATTACCCTTCGTGCGTTAAATCGGGCGACCGTAGAGCGCCCACTCACTTCCGGCAGGGTACTTTGCCGACCAAAACTCAAACCCAAACCCGAGTGCGAAAAGTTTGTTTGTTTATTTTTAATTTGGGCGGATGTTAAGTTCGGCTGCACACACCCACGCCCACACCCATACTCCTGACCTCACCGGATTCGCAGTCTCTCCCTCGAAATTTATTATTGCAAAGGGGATGGGCCGTGGCGCTAGTCAAACTGTCACAACTTTAAGTATAAATGCCACCCAGAAAGTTCACTTACATATGAAGTTCCCAGGGGTTAATCGCACTCGGATTAACTTTTTTCACGCCTCTATTAGGGATGGGATTTTTATTTCGCCTTTTCCAACGTCCGATGCGGAAACAAACTTTTCTACTTTCCAAAACACGTCTCCCATTAGAATCAATATTGATGATTTACACAACTTTTTTAACGCATCCAATATTCGCAAAAAAAAAAAGAAAGCTCCGTGACTCATATAATAAATGTTTAACAATGTAAATGATAATAATTGTATTGATTATAACAGTCACAGCGTATAAACCAATAAAATTTAAAGAATATTCATATAATCATAATAATATGAAAAATAGAAAAGAGCAACTGTTACAAAAGGGCTATTGGCCAAAGGAAATTTACACCAAAAATGATATGTTTACATAATTTTGATAATATTCTTATTATTGCTTATATGTATATCTTACACATCAAACTTTGACATGAATTTTTCATATTCTTAAACAATTCGATTTTACGAATACGAATACTTTGGCAAAGTTAAGTATTAATTTAAAATCTACATTAAGTCAGTACGCAGAAAGGCACAATCAGTTACCTCCATTCAGTATTTTATCTACTTTTGAAACACTTCAGGGTCTACAGATAAGTTGGCTTTTACACTTCTTAACTCAATCTTATAGATTGAAGCCTTGTGCTACAAAAAGAAGCAGTTATCATTTTTTGCTAACAAAAAACTTCACCACAACTTCAGATTCACAATAATACTATTGTTTCCGTGAGCCACGTGTGCAATTTTATTCAAATGTATACCCTGTAGAAATGCATTTATCCATTGGCATCGCTTTCGTGCCTTCGATTTTGTATTTAATTATACTTTGTGGACGAGTGATTTATTCCCGCGGCGATTAATTTCTCACGTAAAGGGCGGTCCGCCCCGTTTATTATGCAGGACCTGTCCTGCTCATAAATATCCTATTTAATTGGTTTCGAATTCAGATTTTTATTTTATTACATTCCAGGAATACTTTACTGAATTCAATATGGAACCATTATTTTCTTAATATTTACTTTATTATTATTATTGAAACATTTTTGTTTTTCGTAACTATCTATGGCTATGTACTTTTCTTGAAGTTAGATATGTATTCAATATAATTATGAATGTGTTGTCCAACATCGTGATTAAATCAAATATATAATTTTTTATGTTGTCATAATTATTGGCGATCGACCGCAACTGCAGGTTAAAAATAACGTACCCACCGTTCATAGCAATTACGTTGTTCATTTCCTAAATCTGTTGCATCCAGAGCGTTTGATGTTTTTCAATAATGCGCGTGAAGCGATTGTTGTTTTATTGTTGGCTTTGCATTACATTGTTTTTGCCGTACAATGAATATCATATATGTGGGAGTACAATAATTATTTTTTGATTTGTCACGCAGTTGTTCTATTTTTTTTTTGCACATCAATCCTGGCCTTTCGTTGTGCAATTAAATTTAAAATTTGTATATTCATGCGGAATTTAATTCGTGTTTCTATTTACGAATTTAATAACAACATCAATGGCATTGTGGAACAGGTGAACAAAAAACATTATGGAATGAAATAAAAATTAAATGTTACTGAAATACATCAAGAGAAACAAATGTGTAATGTGGTGCCGTTCGTTGGGGTTTGTTCAGATCTGGGCGGAGTCCCGGTTCCTTTTTGCATATACTTTACATTCAAATCCGCCTGTACTTGTTTTATCTCGGTAACAATCTTTTTAACATTAATTAATATTCATATTTGTATTACGACGGTGGTCAGCTTTGCATATTACACGCTAGGGCCTAAATTCTCAATTAATTGGAGGGATGGTCATTCGCTTCATTCATTTTTAATAGGTTATGAATATTACAATTACTTTCCGCTTAATGATTTCTTAAGTACTAAGTAAAAACTTATATTTTTTAGAATAAAAATAATGGAAATTCTATAATTGAATATTTTAATTTATAATAATAGTATCGTTAGACCATAAGCTAATAAATATCAACTAATTTCCAAAACTTCCATGCGTTATGACACTAATGATATTATTGTTTACTAAACGGCGAATTAACCATGATTATTATAAAGAAACTAATTAATAATCAAATACTGTTAGTAATCGTTTACTTTGTTTAATTTTTGAAAGAAGAAATGATTCTTCGCATTGATTAACTGTATTTTAATATTGTAATTGTTTTCTATTTTTTAGGGTGAGCTAGTGACTCAGAACATGTCCCTCGGCGTGATCATAAGTACCCACAGCTTGGTACTGCAGAGAGTGACCAGGTGGCAAAGCGGTGCGTACACCTGTCTGGCATCAAATCCAAGGGGAGAAACTATGAGCAAGCCTGTCAATCTGCGTGTCAGATGTGAGTAATGCTTTGCATGAGTAATGATTAGTAACTAACTTACCTTACTTTACTAATTTGGGAAAACGAAAAGTACACACGGTAAGGGAATACCGGAGGAATTAGTTTATCCAAATCTCTCGCTTTGTCACGTCTGACACTCTCCGAGCCGGAAAACTGCTCTTATCGTTGTGTCGGTAGACGTTCGGAGCGAGAAAAGATTGCAAATATTAAGAGAAGCGGACGTGGGAAATTGGAAAGGAAAATGTTTGCTCAAATGAAGACGGGGTGGGCTAAAGTCGAGAGTTTGTTTTGCTCCAAATCCGATGAATCGATGAACAAAAAAAAAACGTTCAGATAAGACGGGAACTTTAATTATGTAAAGTGTGTATCAAAACATCGTGAATCCCGGAACCGTTTCCGAATAATTACTGTTTATTGCACGATCTTAATAAATAGAGGGTTCAGTCAATAGAAATCTCATTTGTGTACATATATGATGCAACGTTCGTACTCCTCCGAACGTTATGAAACAAATAAGAAAAAAGTCAATATAAAGGAATTTTTGAAGCTTTCATTCCATACATTTTCCAACTCTAACGATTGATTTGTAATTTTCCTCAGAATGTAATTTAGATGACAACTGAAAATATTAATTAACGCGCTTCATTAAAATGATGACGGCGTATTAATAACAGTAGAAAGTAGTGGACAAAAATCTAAACAAGGAAAAATGTATACTGTAATGTAGAAACAGCCCTTCCACAGATCCAAGTTCATAAACCGGAACGCCTCGTGGGAATTTCTAAATGCGATCACGTCTTAGAACAGCATCAGGCTATTTGGTGTGTTGGTCCGGTCTATCGATCCATTCCATCCATGGAATAACCTCTAAAATTTTCCATTGGCATTTGTTATTGAAATAATTTTAAATTCTGCATTGATGTTATTTCTGCTGCAGCCATTACCATACCCTGCTTTATTTTAAAACAAAGAAATTAGTATTCTGTTTTGTATTAGAGCTCTTAAAGAAATGGATCTATACGACAGGGGTGGCCAAACTTTTGATCACTTCGGGCGATCTTCGGCAGAATCGGCAATACATTACATAAAAAGGATATTTATAATTTTAAATTTCATATTACACAATGTCATTTCATTGCTGCTATATAGAAATTACTTGTAAGTACAGACAAAACAAACTATAAATGGAAATAGAAAAAAATAGTTATTTTTAGTTAAAATACATTTATTTTATTGTGGGAGTATAAACTGTAGGTTAGATATAATGCAGTCCTATAAAATTAGAGATTTAAATTGCAAGAAACAATAATGAAAATTGAAAAATGTAAATGTTAAAATGAACTTAAAATATGAATTAAAATAATTAGAATTTAATAATCGTTGATTGGTGATAAGTACTGTAATGAAAGTATACTGCCATATAATATAATTGATAATAAAGTATTTCTTGAACTAAAAATTAATACATTTTGATTTTGGTAGTTACAAATTTGTGACATAGGGGACAACTGTCTAAATCATTGGCACATGGTGAACACATTCTGTGGCCGCACCTAAATATAATATGTGCTTCTTTATCAAAACAATACTGACAAAAATAATGTTCTCTAATAGTGTCGTACGCGCTTTTCAATGCCTTCTCTAGTTTCACCTTCTGAGCACGAATTTCGGAAGATATTTCGCTGCCATCACCACGTAACCTCTTCTCGATACAGTAACCACAGCTTATACACCTCACCATCCGGAAACTGCACTCTTCACAAGCAAACTTATGATTGCAAGGAAGCAAAGTCACGATATCATCTACTGGCATGGAACAAACATCGCACTCTGACTTAGCAGTTTCTTCTGGGAGAGCGGAGGCTGTCGCCAATTCTTCCTCCACTTTATTTTTGTTAGGACCGTCCATTGCTCACCAACAATGTTACTTGTGCTAAATACAACTACAACTGACCGACTGACAACCTTTCTCCCTACCACCATCCTCTTGTTCACTTCCTGGAACCTGCATTGTAAAACTTTGAAAGGAGTTTATCCGAGAATTTGGGAACAAACAAAAATCCGGGAAAAGTTACCTTTTAAGTCTCGATGTATTGCAATGCAGCGTATCGGTAAATATAAAATGTTTTTTTTCTTCTAGTTAGTCCTAACAAATATGTTTATTTTTCAAAAAAACCTTGATTTAAAAAAAATCTTCTATAAATAAAAGTCATCTTATAGTATACGATACAGAAATAAACAGAAAAATGGAATTTTATTACAATTAGGGTTGTAATCGAGAAACATTAATTGGAATAAAGTTTTCTTTAAAGCAAACATTTCAAATTCAATTAAATACGTAAAACCAATTTGTTGAAGTATTTGCCGAATTTTTCAGTTCGAAGAAACCGCCTGAACATAAATTACTACAAAATGGGAATTGTAGCTGTACATGTACATACAGTTTGCGCAACCCTCCGGCAATAAATTAAAACTTCCTC